CACCCACTTCCCACTTAGCCCCGCCCCTGCCCGTGCAGCCACACCCACTTCCCACTTAGCCCCGCCCCTGCCCGTGCAGCCACACCCACTTCCCCCTCCTTCTCAGCCCCGCCCCTGTCCGTTCGGCCCCGCTCCTATGCTCAGGACGTTCGGGGTGTGTTCGGGGTGCATTCAGGCCAGAGCCCTTCAGGCACCTACCGCTCCTGCGTGGAAGGGATAAGGGGCTGGACCTCAGCCCCTCGTCTACCTGTCTGCTCCAATGCATGCCTTTGCTTTCGTATTTGACGGTTTGATTCAATTTTTGTTGTTGAGGTGGCCCTGGGCCACATTACGTGTTTCAGATGCGCAGGCTTACGCCTTGTCGTGTGTACACACTACCTCACAATCACCACCAGGAGTCGAGCCGTACGGTTGACACCCCCACCCCCACCCCTTTATCTCATTTAAGCATCTCCCAGCCCCCTCCCCTCTGGTAACCAGCATGGTTATGAGACTCTTAAGGGTTGCTTTGGTCTTTACCTTCCGCATTGGAGTGGAGTCATACGGTATTTTATTTAGCAGTGTTTTGATGGGTTGCCTAGGCTCACCATGGAGTGCTTAGGGAGACTAACAGGCTTGCAGTTGATTTCTACTTAAAAAAATAATACTAGGGCTTTCCCTGGCAGCACAACGGGTTAAAGCACCGCTTTATGAAGCCCTCTGAAGCCACTGCAACACGAGTTCGATCCTTGGCCAGGGAGCTGACCCACATGGCCCGGCAGACCTCTCCTGAAGTCACCGCTCGCTGCTCCCCTCAGCAATGTACTTTGTCAGTCTGCTTGTTCTGCTCCCCACTGTGTCTCTGGTGAATCCTCTCATTCACCACACCCCCGTGCCTGTACCCCAGTTCTGTAAGCATAAATAAATGTCTTTTAAAAATAATAATATTAGTGCTTAACATAGCGACTTGCCTTTGTTTCCTGGGATGTAGATGTTAATGGGATTATAAAATAAAGAGAGTGGCCTGGCAGGAGGCAGGAGGGTGGAGCTGGACGGTGGAGGAGCAGGGCCTGTCACAGAGCTCCCATGACCCAGTTAGATGCCCCCTAGTCTTCCTCGTGAAATGGAGGTCCTCATTTGCACTCCACTTGGGCTCACCTCAGAGGTGATTCAGTGAAAGAGCTCGTGGAAGGGATCTAAGTGCTGAGGATTTGTCATTTAACAGAACTTTGGAGAAGCAAAGTTGTGTCATGATGGAAGGAACTTTCCCTAATGAAGACAAGTCTCGGCTCCACCCCCCTCCGCACCCCCAACCCTGGTCTCTGTAATCAATTAGAGGCTGTGGAAACAGCCTTGGGATAAAGGGATGGGTGAGTGCAGAGAAGAAACGCAGAGACATCCTGGGAGCAGGGCCAGAGGGCTGACCCCTTGCTGATGCCCTCACCCTCACCCTCTTTCCACATCC